ATTAGCTATTACGACTTAAAACCTTCCTTTACAGTATATACTGTCTTCTTTAGTAACTAATTTTTAAATAGGTTAAAAAAAAGCTTTAACAACGGTTAAATTAAGCGGGGCTTTAAAAGCAATTAAAAAGCAAGACTAAAAAATTGCTAGGAAAAACAAATAATACGTACAAAAAGTATTACGATAAAAGCAGGATTTTAATGCTTTTTGGGGTAAAAAATTGGGTATTGCTAAATACGGTAAACATTAAAATGAAAAAGCTTTTAAAAAAGCTATTAAATAAATGGCTGGAACCTTTTCAAATTAAAAAAATGGTTAGGTTAACCGGTTTGGCGTTCCGGTTAAAGCTTCCGGTAAATTACCGGATATATAACGTATTTCCGGCAAATTTATTGCGGGCGTTTAAAAAAAAGGCCCGGCGAAAAACCAAAAAAATAAAAAATAAAAATCGAAAAAAAGGAAAAGGATCGTTTTAAAGTAAAGGTTTTGCTAAAATATAAAGGGTTTTTGCAAAAACGAAAATACCTGGTTAAATAAACAAATTACAACAAATCGGAAAATTTGTAAATTTTAACAAGGGATATTATAAAAAAAATTGTTAAAAAGTACGAAGCGAATTTGCAAATTAACGGAAATACCGGACCTTAACGGGCAAATACCCGGAAAAAACGGCGGTTAACAAAAGATAAGTAATAAAAGCTTAAAAAAAGGGCCCGGAAAAATGTTTTAAACGTACCAAACCGGTTGGCCACCGGGAAAGGACGGGAGAAAACCCGTAAGCGGTTTGTAAAAGCTATAAAATATCGTGCTTTATAAACAAAAAGTTAAATAAAAACGGTATAGTATAAAAAACGCCCCAAATTAATAATGCAATACATTTAAATCCCAAAAAATATGCAAAATGTAGCACATTTTGGAAAGCCCGTAAAAAGCATGCTTAACGCAACACGTTAAAGCAATTACCGCATTTTAAACGTACGTTATAATAAAACACTATTGCTTGCCCGAAAAAAAAATGGGAAAATTTCCGAATAGTATAACAAACGGGTTTAAACATTCGGGTAACGGCAAATACATGTTAAAAATATTTAAATTTATTGGAAAACGAAAAAAAAGCATTTTAAAATTATTTATTAAAGCATTAAAGCTTAATTGGTAATTAAAAATACCGAAATTTTGCAATGCTGCAAAAGCAGCATAACAAAAAAAATTGTAATTACAATTGTAACAAACAATTAACGAAATTTTTTTAAAATTAACCACTTTTTAAAAAGGAAATACCAATAATTAACTAAAAAATATATAAAAAAAATCGATTAATAACCGAATTTAAAAAAACCAAACCTTTTAAAAACCACGTTTGTTTTGTTAGCGTTAAAATTGTTATTGCTAAAATTGTTAGCGCTAAAAGCGGCATTTCCCGGCGTTAATACGAACGCCGCACTTTTACGGAAAGCCGCGCGGTTATAAGCTTAAATATCCAAATGCGCCGCAATTGTAACAAAATTAGCAATAATGCCATTATATATATATATAAATTTATTTACCCCTTTCGAGCTGTATAACCCATGGGGAGCATTACGGATCGGGGTAACTATTTAAAGGTAAAAACCGTGCTTCCAGCCAATAGCTGTTTGGTATAAAGCCGGGTAAAAACTTTTTTTTTTCGAGGTATTTTTTATTCCGCGTCGTTTTCGTAAGTAATTGTTTGTAAGGTATTTTTTACATTTCCAAACATTCGGTAAAAAAAAAAGTTGTTATTATTCGAAACGAAATATCGTGGTTTGGTTGGAAATTGGTTCGTTCGTTGCATTTAGGTCGCGTTATTAAATGCACGTTTTTGTGCTAATTTAAAGCTTTCCCGTTGCTTTTTCCATTTTTATTAACTTTAGCAAATAAATTAATATATTGCGGCTTTTTCCGCCTTTTTTTTTCCCAATCCTTTACGCAATCCCACCAAAAAATACCATTAGCAATTGCAAAATAGCAATAACAATAACCGTTGTAAATTTTCCCTTTTTAACCTTCGTTACCTTGCAGCCCATTTAACGTTTAATTGTAAAACCGCACATTCCCAACGCTTTGTTAATATTTCGCTTCGGCTTTCCGCGGTTCGTAATCGCACTATAACGCCCAAAAAAAAGGTAATACGAAAAAGCCTGTTTTACTTCCTTTCGAAGTAACGGGCAATTCCAAAAAGCGCAAAGCCCGTCGTTTGTATGTAATTTTTTTTATATTTTTATAATTTTCCGCTAACCCATTTTAATATTTTTAACGGTTTAACCAATTGCATTACGTGCATGCGTATAATAACCCGCAAAATTAACTTTAATAAAGCTTGCATGCAAAATTTTAATAAATCCTTTTCGTCGTTTTTTTTAATTTTATTTTTCCAAATATTTCGTTAATAAATTGCTTTGGTTTAAATTCCAAATTAAAAAAATATGTATATTGCTATTTAAAAAAAAAGGCTAACAAAAACGGACAATGCATTTTTGCGTTGGGAAAAAGCGTTTCGAAATCGGGCTAACGTATGCTTAATGCCGCGAAAAAGTTTAAATCCGTAAGTTTTGCTTTTAATGCCGATAATAACTTTACGAACCGCAAAAAGCATTACGTTTAAGCGTTTAACTTTACGGGCAAAGTAAAAGCTATAAATTTTTTTTTTGCTTTATTGTATCCTTTACGTCCCCGGTCCGTCGCTAATACTTTAAACAAAATTAAAAAACTTGGCTTCCCCAATACAAACGCCGCGTTTACGCTAAATTTAAAACCGCTTGCAAAATGTATTTCCCGAACGATACCCCGGCCCCGGTAAAGCTTCCCCGCTATTTTGCGGAAAACCCCGGAATTAAAGCTCGCCGTAACATTATTATTACTAACATTTCCATTAAAATATTTTTTATATTTAATATTACTTTTAATTATTTTTAAGCTAAACGTAACGGGTTTAACGATTTTACGTTAATAAATTGCATTAAAATTTATACGCAAAACGTTCGATTTTGTTGGAATATTTACGCCCAATTTTACAATAACGCTACCAAATTCGTTAATCGTTATAACAAATACTTTAAAAAGGTTACCCCCGCTAATTTTTCGCAAATTGGTAACGGCAACGGTAACGGTAAAAATAATAAAATAACGGATAACTTTTTTTCGGTAATTGGTAATTCCGCGGCTAAGTTTAAAAAAAAAACGATGCGGCTGGTTTTTAATTTATTAACAAATTTGGTTAAGGTAAAATTACGGGTTTAGCCGGGGTTGCTGCGGCGGCAACGGGGGCGGTAAAAAGGGTGTCGGCGGCGCCCGGGGTAACGATTAAAAAAGCAACCGCTGCTATATTCCTTCCCCCTTTTTAAACGCTTTCCCGCAACCCCAACAAATTTAATTTCGGTTTTAAGGATAAAAGCGATAACATAGCCGTTTAAACGCTATATACCCGGCGGTTCGAATTTTTTATATTTGGGATTTTAAAAACAATTTGCGGCAACCCGCTTTTACGAGCGTAAATAAGTCCTCGCTTTTTGGCGTTAAAATAAAAGGCTGCGTTATTTTGCTTATTGGTATGTAATGTTATTAATAATTAGTAAAATCGTTGGAAGGTTTTTTCGACGAGGTTTAATGTAAGTTTGGCTTTTTAAAACCGGGGCGGTTAAGCTTTTTATTTCCTTTCCGAATTCGCCGCTTCGTTGCGGCGTTTAACGTTTTTTTATCTCTTTTTTTTTCCGCTTTTTCCGCTTACGTATCGATAATATCGCTTAACAAAGCGTAGCTAAAAAGCCGTTTTATTTTTATAAACCACTTTATAACGATTGCTACTTCGTTTAACTGGCTTAGCAAGGATTTCGTCGCTTTTTTTATTGCTTAAAAAAGTTTTTTTTTATTTTCGCAAGTTCGGGCAATGTAATAGTACGTATGCTACCGTTTCCGGGTTTTAACCGCATTAATACGTTGCGGTTACGCCGGGAACTTTCCGGAAAGCTAAATAGCTTTAAAGCTTTAACTTTTCCGTTTTTAGCTAAACCAATAGCAAGCTTTAAGTTTTGTAAAGGTTGCGGTAAAGGTTTAGGATTTTTTCGTTGGGTTGCTTTTTATTAATTTTAACGCTTTTTTTGGTTGCCGTAACGTAATTGTGCTATTTTTTTTTCCACTTTTCCAGCACCGCTATTTCCGGGTTCGATTTTCCGATCCAATTTAACGCTTTTTCCCGTTAACGGAATAGCCGCGTAATTGCAGCCGTAAGCTTTTGCTTTTTGTTTTTCAATTTCCGCTGCATTTTTTTGCAAATATTTGCAATTTTTTCCGCCAAATCGCCTTTTTTAACTTTTTTTCGAAATAAGCAACGCAACCATTTAACCATATTTAAATTGGGGTTATATGCGTTTTTAATTCCAATAATTTTTATAAAGTTCCTTTGTAAGCCCCCGTTATTGTTTTTAAGCAATTGTTTTGCGTTTTTGCTTACGTTTTGGCCATTTTTTTGGGCCGTAACGGGGTAGCGTTAAATTTATAATAAGCCGGGGCCGCGTAATTTAATGCTATTTTAATTACGGCTAAATATAAGTATTTGGTTTTAATAAACGTAGGTTTTTACGTTATTGCTGCTAAGCGCGTAATAAATAGCATTTGGGTCGCCATTTTTTCGCGCATTTTTTGGATATATTGGGTTTAATCCAGCTTGGAATTAATCCAAAAGCTTAATATTTGCATTGCTTTTTTTATCGTTTTTAATTTTACCGTAACCTTTTCGAAACGGAAAGGTAACGTTGGCGCGGGTTTTTTCCTTTTTATTAACCAAACCAATTAGTATTTGGCCGGGTTAAATTTCGTTCCAAATTTTTTTGCCCATTTTAAATACACGTTGTAAACGGTTTTAAACTTATTGGTTGCGTTCGTTGCGTTGCAATTAAAATTAATTAAATTGGTATTATTTGCAAATTTCGTAACCGCAACCCTTTTTATTTCCCGTAGCTTTTTGTACAAGCTTACCGTGTAAATAATAAAAAGAATAGGTAATATTGGGAACCTTTGCGGGATTCCGCATGGAACTTTATTTTTTGCCGTATTTTCGCCGTCGAAAAAAAATGTTATTTCCTAATTGCTTAAAAAGCTTTTAAAAAAATCCAAAATTTATTGTAAAAATTGGTATTTTTTTATTTCGTTAAAAAAACGTATATGCAATACGGTATCGAAAGCGCCGTTTATATCGAATAATAAAAAACCAATTATTGCTTTCGCGTTCCAAACCGTATTTACCATTTTTATAAATAAACGCATAACCGTTTTTATAAATTTGCATTATTAATTGCCCATTTATTCGTTAAAAAATAATTAATAGCTTTTTGTAACGTTTTTAATACAAAACGTTAAAATTTTTTCCAACGCTTTTTTTATCGTTTTTAAAAAAGCAATTGGCTTTTACGCGCTTAAAATATTCGGGTTTTTATCGGGTTTTTGGAAAATAATGGTACGGAATTTCCGGAACCTTTCCGGAAAATAACCGCGGTTTACGCATGCCGTAAACATTTCCGCCAATGCTTTAAAAAATGCCGGTTCCATTACCAACAATTTTTTAGTAAAAATCCCCGTTGGGCTTAAAGCTTTCCAATGTTTTATGCTTTAAAAGGTTTTTTTTACGTCCTTTACGGTAATTTTTTTGCGAACGAACAAAGGTTGGAAAGGTAATTTAGGGTATTTAAGGATATCGGTAATGTTCGCCGTTAATATAGGGAAAAATTTCCTTTTTAAGGCTGTTTTTTTCGCTTTTTTTGTCGCCGTTACCCTTTTGCTTGGTAATTTTAACAACGGGAGTAACGGGGGGGGAAAAAATCGGTAGCTTTTATATTTTGCCCATTTGGCAATGGTTTATATGCTTTTGGCGTTTTGTATAATGCTTGCTTCGTGCATTGCGGTACGTTACGTATACTTTTTCGTTATTTTAATAACGCTTTTCCTTTTTTTGGTAGCTTTTTTTATTATTGCGTAATTAGTTTTCGAACGGTTTGCTTTTTACGTTAATTCGGCCCGGTACTCGTTGCAAAATAGCTAAAAAAAAATTTCCGTTTATTAATTATAATTTCCGGCCTTTTTTTTTAATTTTGGTACGGTTAGGTTGCGGATTTTTAATATTGCTTTTATAATATCGTTTATTTTTTCGTTAATTGCTTAACGGTTAATAAATGGTTATAGCGAAAAAAAAAATTTATTATTCGCTAAGGATTTGGCGAATTTTTTATCGATTTTTTTCCAATTCCAGCCTTTTAAAGCTAGTGCGTAAAGGTTTGGAATGGTTTTTAAAATTGTAATTACCATCCCCGTATAATCGTTGCTACTTTAACGCCATTTTAACGGCTATTAAATTTTTAACTTTCCGGTAGCCCAAATTAAATCGATAATAATGTTTTTGCAATGGGGGGCGGATTTCGTTGCCGCATTTTGGCGAATTATTAATTGCATGCTTTATAATTTCGTTAAACCAACCAATTTAAAAGCCCCCGCGTGCATCGGTACGTTTTTTGGGCGCTTCGATATCCATGCTTTATGGTAAAGGTTAAAATCCCTTACTATTAAGTTATTGCTTTTCGGTTTTTTCCCGGCAAGCTTGTTAATAAATGTTATTTAATTTGTAATGGTTGTACTTTTTGGAAACGGGGAATAAACCAACCAAATCGTTATATTTTCGTTTTAAGTACCGATCGTAACTTCGCACCAATTCGGTTTTGCTTTGTAATTTAAAATACGTAGCGTTAATTTAATATAAATAATCGCTTTAATAATGGGGGGAAGGGGGGGAATAAATTATAGTGGTAAAAAAAAGGAAAGCGCGTTGCTTTTTTTTTAGCGGTTTTAAAAGGATCCCGGTAAATTACCGTATGGTTGCTGCGGGGTAAGGTTATATATATATTAAATTAGTTTTTTCCCGGCTTACAACGGGAATTTAGCGTTCCTTTTTAAATTTTTTAATAATTTTTGTATCGCTAATACGTTAAAATTGCTTCCTTTCGTTAATAATACGTTAAATATTTCCGGTTTTTTCGCTACGTTCCATTAAAAAACCTTAAGCATTGGTTTTTTCGTTAAAAAGGTCCTTTTTTGCTTTTAAGGGGGGCGGTAACGTTAACGCTTTTTTTTTATATAATTGGGTACTAAAGGATTGTATGTTATTGGATAATTGGAAAAAGGTAAGGCTTTTTTGGCTGGCCTTTCCTATTACTTCCCGTAACGGTAAAAGGGACGCGGGTATCGCCGGGAAATTGGGTTTCGTTGGAAAGTTCGCGGGGGGGGTGCGGGGGAAAAAAAAGCTTTAGGATGCGTAAGCTTTAGTTTTTTACAAATAGCGTAATAATTGCGTTTTTTCGTTTTGCCGTATAGAACTTTTTAAACCTTTTTATAAATTGTTCGGCCGATTTTAAAAAATTCCTTTTTCGTTTTATAAATAAAATTGGTCGAAAAAAGGGTAACCTTAACTTTGCGTCGATTTTATTGCGTATAAAGGTTTTTTCGGTTAGCGGGGTTATATTTTGGGTTGTTATTGGTATTTAAAAAAAAGTTGCTACGAAAAGGCTATTGCTCCTTTTTGCTTAATCGGTTTTTTTTTGCTCCCGTATAAAAATTGCTTTTTCCCGGGGTAAAAAGGGGGATTTTGCCCGCCCCGTTTCCGGCGGCAATCCGGTTTGCAACGATTTCGAAATAAAAGTTATTAAAATTTCGTAATGGGTAAGCTTTGTAAGCCAAGCTTTTTTTTTGCGTTATTAAATTTGCTTTCGCACCGGGCAATGCAAAAAGTAAAATGGGTATCCAATTTTATTGTACGGGATACAAAATGCCTTAAACATATTTTTCGGCAACTTTTTTGCTATTTCCTTTTTTTTTATACCGTTTATTATTGTATTTTTTTAATCCATATTACGTACACGCCGTAATTTGCTTGCATTGCATGTTTTTATATTCCCAATTTAAATAACGGTAACATTGCGCCGTAATTAATTCGGGATCGAAAGGTTAGCATTGGTATATTAACTTATCTTATCGAAAATAATCCTTTTGTAAATTTATTGCGCTTTTTAAATTTACAATTTGGAATAACGCCGTTACCTTTTTTTTGCTACCTTTTTTTTTTATAACAAAACGGTAACCCGTTTAATATTTTTATACGGATTTTTGGCGTTAAATGCTTTTATTAGCTTTAATTAATGTTCCGTTTTGCTTTTATTGTTAAAAAAAGGTTAAAATTTATTAATTAGTAAGCCCGTTATTACTAAAGCTATTGTTGGTTTGGTAACTTTTAAATTGTTCGTTTATCCGGTTATATTTTAAACCGCAAAAAGCGCGTATTACGTTTGTAACCGGTTCGTTGCGGCGGGGTTACCGTGGCTATCCGCAACCTTTTCCATGTTTTCGCTTATATCGTTCGTTTTTAACCCGAACCGGCATTTTTTTTCCGTTCGTTAGCGGGTATTAACATTTCGGAAATGCAAACGAACGTTTTTTAACGGGTGCTAATAAATCGCTTTAATTTAGCCTTTACTTAGCTTTTTATTGCAAATCCGTTTAATTTTTTCGGGTTTTATTTTTTTAATTTTTTATTTTCGGTAATAATAAAAATTTTATCGTTAATTGTAAATGTTATCGCTTTTTTAGCTTCCATTATTTAGGGTGCTTTAAAAACGGTTTGCGCTTTTGCGGTTATTTAAGCCCAGGTTTATTTTTTACTTTTTCCGTTTGCGGCCGCAATTTATTGCGTTTGGTTTTTTTTTTAATATGGTTTCGATTTATTCGAAAAATTAAAAAATCGTTTGGGTTGCGTTAGAATTAATCGTTAAAATTGTTAAAATTGCGGTTGTTTGGTTAGTTACTTTAACGTATCGAACGAATTCCGCAATAATTTTAACGGCCGTAATTTTTCTTTTTTTTTATTAAGCAATTGGAAATATTTTTTTGCAAATTGCATCGTTATTGTAATTAATTGGGTTTTTTTCGGGCTTGCGGTTAGTTTTTGTTATGGTTGTTGCTAGTTCGGGTAATTCCCGTCGCATATTGCGTGCTTCGATTGGTTAAGGCCAATAGCTTTTTTTATTAACGCCGCAACGGCGTTTCGGGGTATTATCGAGCCCGTTTAACTTTTAAGCAAATTAGCGTTTCCGGTTTTCGTAATGGCTTTAGTTTTTTTATATGTCGTTGTCGTCGTCGCGCGCAAGCAGAAAACGTTTTTTTAAAATTCCAATAATGCCATTAAAAAAAGCAATTATACCTTTTTCGAAACGTTTAAAAAACGCCGTTATTTCGTTAAAAAAATTTACGGTAATAATTAAAATTTAAATTTGCTTTTTCGTTTAAAAAGCAATAGCGTAAAATTATTGGGAAATATTTTAAAGAGCTTTCAATATTGCAACGTTAGCAATTTTGCGCTGGATACGCTTTTAAATAACGGTTTAACGTTTGTAACGCTTAAATTATTTAGCCAATATAATATAAAAGGATTTGGCTTTTTAAATAACTTTGCAAGCGCAAAATTAAACTTTAATAAGCTTTTTAAAAAGCTTTGGTATTGCTTTAAAATACCGTTTATAAATGGCGTTTAAAATTTTGTAAAAATTTTGGGCCATTTTCCAAAATTATTTGGAAAGCTTAACGCAAATTTTATTGCTAACCACGTTTTTGCAATAAATGCATTTGGAAAACTTTATACAATTATCGAAATATATCGGTATACGGGGGTTAACGGCATAATTTTAATATGCTTAATAACCAAAATAATAATTACAAAATACCGTACGTTTTGTATAATTTTTTTTAAAAAAAAGCAAACAAATAAAGTTTTAATTATCGTTCCATTAAAAATTAATAACTTTTTTGCGTTAAAAACGCGTTGCAAATACTTATATAAAGCAAAAAAAAGCGGTATCCGTTTTGGGGGCAGGTTTATTAAAATCGAAAGCGTTGCGGCGGCGTTTGTTGCGCGTTTTACGCTTTTTTTAGCGGCGGTTTTTTTGCCGCAACGGTTAAAGCTTACCGGGGGGTTATTAGCAAAACGCTTGTAAAAGGCTTAAAAAATTGCAAGCGCAAAAAGGTTCGATAAACCCGCAACATTTAAAAAGCTTACCGGGGGGTTACCGGCCGGGCAATTATTGGAAATTTAAAAAATTGGAAGCTTAAGCAAATTCAAATTCAACAAAGCCATAATAGCTAAAAAAAAATACCGGGGGGTTATTAAAAAAGCGCTGGTTTGGGGCTTAAAAAACCGCGGGGCTAAAAAGGGTTAATAAGCCGGTTGGAACCGAAAAATTTAAAGCAAGCATTTAACGGGAATTTAACTTTTTTATTGCGGCGGGTACGTTAAATAACATTTGCGGTTACCGGTTAAATTTAAATATTTAAAAAAAGCGGTTAAATACCAATTATTTACGGTTACGGTTGTTAAAATCGTTAAAATGGCTATTGAAAATTTAAAAAAACGGAAAAGCCCGCGGCCGCAAAATAAAAAAAAAGCTTTTTTATATTAACGTAAACCCATTTTTCGAAATGTTATAAAACTTTACAATTGGTTTTTTTAAACGTTGCCGGGCATTAAGGCGGTTTACCGAAATATTATTAATTACCGGCTACTTACGGGATTTTTACGCGCGGCATACGCGGTTTGGAACAAGCCGTATCGGAAAAGGGCAATATGTTAAAAGCACGGGCAAAACCGCCCGGCAAAAAGCGGAAAGCGTTAAAAAAAACGGGCGAAACCGCCCGGCAAAAAAGGAAAAAAAAGCGTTAACAATTAGTTAAGCACGGACTTTCCCGGGAACGTACCGGCAAGTTACCGGTATTGCGGTTAAAGCATAACGGCGAAATTGAAAAATAAAATAAAGCTTAAATTGCACGAAAACGCATGGAATGCGAAAAATTTATAAAACCAACCCCGCGTGCCCGAAAGGGCACGAAAGAAAAAAAAGTTAAAAAAGGAACAATTTTTGTTGGAAATGGTACTTTTAGTAAAAAATTTACGGAAATTTAATAAAGGAAATACCGCATCCGGCCCGTAATTTGGTAATTACCCGCTTTTGCATCGATTAATTTTTAATATAAAGTACCGGGGAAAAGTTAAAAATGCGTTAAAAACCTGGAATTACTAAAAAGATTGTTAAAAAGGCTACGAATTTGCGAAAGTTAAAAAAGGAAAATTTACGGTTGTTATTGCTATTGTTATTATTGCTGCTGCTAATAATGGTTTTTAATTAAATTAAAAGAAAAGCCAAAAAAAAAGCAACGAAAGTTACGAAATAAAGCTAAAAATAAGGTACAAATAAAAAAAGGAAGGAATAATAAGCAAGTTTAAAATTTTTACGAAACGCGCATTCGATAACTTAACTTATACGCAACGGCCGAACCACCTTTACAACTAAACTACAATATTTCGCTTTAAGCATTAACCTTTTTCTTTTTACTAACCGTTTAAAAGTACAAAAGCAAACCATACCACCAACACATTACTTACGAAAAAAACGCGGAATTGCAAAAACTTTAAAAGGAAAAAGTTTTTACCCAGTTTTATACTAAATAGCTATTGGTTAAAAGCATAAGTTTTACTTTTATATAATTAACCCGATCCGTAAAGCTTTTTATAAACTATATAACTCGAAAAATGTAAATAAATATATATATAAATTAGCTATGTATTAAAAGTTAATCGGTGCAAAAGCGGGTAATTACCAAGTTACGGGCCGGATACAGTATTTTTTTTGTTAAATTTCCGTAAATTTTTTACCAAAAATGCTATTTTTAATAAAAAAAAAAAATTTTTAACTTCCCCCTTTTTCGTGCCCTTTCGGGCACGCGGGGTCGGTTTTATAAATCTTCCGCGTTCTATGCGTTTTCGTACAATTTAAACTTTACTTTATTTTTTAACTTTGCTATTATGCTTTGGCCGCCATACCGGTGGTTTGCCGGCACGTTCCCGGAAAAGTTCGTGCCCGGTTAGCTGCTAGCGCCCCCTTTTTCCTTTTTTGCCGGGCGGTTTCGCCCGTTTTTTTAACGCTCCCCGCTTTCTGCCGGGCGGTTTCGCCCGTGCTCTTAACACTATGTAAATATACGTACTTTAAATATTTTAATAATGCACGTATTATTGGTAAAGCTATGCTTGTTTTAAATAATAGCAGCCATTTTAGTGGGGTTTTCGAATTGGTCGTTATTATTGTCCCCACGGTGTAGGTATTAACTCCGCTAATCACGCCCGAGCTCCAAGTGCCGGGCCCACTAAACAAGGCTCCCCGCGTCACGCTCTCAGTCATCATCTGCAGGACGTTGAATGCTATACCGAACGCGTTAGGGCTGTTTGGCCAGGTGTGGCGCCATAAAGCACCGATCCATCCGAGACCCAGAAGAATACAAAGTGTGCAAATGTCCCAGTGGTACCACCTTGGTTGGTTGTGCCCGTCCTGTCTTCTCCCGAGAGCCCCGGCGTCGTTCTCGTAGGTGGGCCGTAATGGATATGGCATGTTTCTCGTAGCTCTGGCGTTCCATTGCAGGGCCGTCATGGCGGTGTCGGCGCTGGCCTTCACGGGCTTGTCGGTGACCAAGCCGACGGCGCACCGCGTGTTCCATCAGACGGCGGCGCTCTTCTGCTTCGTCGCCGCCATCGGCTACTGGATTATGGGGTCCGGGCTGGGCGACATCCCGACCGTCGTCGAGTTCGCTCGGCCCGACAGCGCCATGGTCTCGGGTGCCGGGCCGGGCGGCACGCGGCAGATATTCTACGTGCGCTACATCAACTGGGCCGTATTGTCGCCGCTGGTGGTGCTGGCGCTACTATTGTCCTCGGGCGCGCCGCTGTCGCTCACGACCATGCTGGCGACCGAAATCTACGTCGTAACGCTACTAGTCGGGGCGCTAACGGCGACGTCGTACAAGTTCGGCTACCTCGCCTTCGGCATAGCGGCGCAGTGGTTCGTGCTGTACCAGCTGCTGATGCCGGGGCGCCAGCACGCGGCGGCCGTAGGCGGCAGCGTCAGCAGCACGTACTTAACGGCCGCGCTGCTAACAGTCGTGGTCTGGATCTTCTACCCCATCGCTTGGGGGCTCTGCGAGGGTGGCAATATCTTGCACCCGGACTCCGAGGCCATCTTTTACGGCATCCTCGACATCTTTGCCAAGCCCGTCGTCGGCTTCATCCTCGTGCTAGGCCATCGCAACATCGACTTTGCGAGCCTGGGCTTCGCTTCGCAGAAGCCCGGCCCCGTGGGCGAAAAGACGACGGTGGCTGCGCCCGCGGGAGGCGTGAGCAACGGGGGCGGTGCCGCATAGGCTGGGGACATGGCTGGTGGCTGCTTCCGGCTATGCCGGCTCCCATTTTCGCTGTGTGGGGCTAAGGCGAGGCAGCATGGGAAGGACATTGCAAGTGCGCCCGCTACTCCAAGCGCACATGACGATGCTTCCTTATTATCTTTGCGACCGCGTAAACGCGCTCGAACCTCGAGCGTCAACTACGACACCACCGACACTGCTCTTCTTTGTTTATCCTGTATACCATATCCAACTTTATTTTTGTCTTTCCGACGTCTATCAGCTCACACCCCCGCTAAATGCTTCTTCAAGCAGCTTGTTTAAACGCCCTTTATAGCCGACCCTTTTCCCTTTCCACCTTCTTCACCCTCCACTCCATGCCCCAAAACCAATTCACGGCCACGAGCGGTATGCAAGTAACCACCACGAGCGCCAGGCCCAAGAACGCGGCGCCCGGCCCTACGGCCGCGATCATGGGGTCGACAAACGCGACACCCACGGCGCCCAGCCCGCACCGAACCAGGTTGTTAACCGCGGTGCTGCTCGCGCCCCGCCCGGGGCACAAGTCCGTAACCAGCGTTTGGTTAAGCGCGAAGACGGCGTTGCTCGCGCCCGCGATTACGAACTGCAGTATCAGCGGGAGTGCGATCCAGCCGGGGAGCGATACGAGGCGCGGGAACTGCAGCGAAAAGCCGTAAACCGCCGTCGCGGCCGCGAACAAGCCCGCGATCCAAGGTAAGTTCCGCGTGCGCGCGCGCTCGATGGGGAAGTCGGCGGGGAGCTCCTTAGTGGGTAAGCGGGAGTTGGAGGGGAGGCCGTTCGAAGCTAGGTAGGCAGCCTCGGCCGCGCGGTAATCGCGCATCATGAGCTTGCCCGCGATGGCGGATCCGACAATGGTGCCAAGCCCTAGAATGGTTTTTTTCCTTGTTAGCTCCGAAGCCCATAGATTTTACAAGTGGCTTTAAAATTCGATTAAAATCCGAGGAAACATACCATTTGGTATAAAGGCGAGCCCGAGGAAAAGCTCGCTTAGCCCAAAGCGCTCCTTGAACAAACCGGTGGTGCTGGAAGTAACCATGCTCCATATCGCGTACACAACGCCGCCGAATATCAGGTTGCAAAGGACTGCCTTGTCGAGCAGGAGCTTTAGCGGCTCCAAGAACGTTGAAAGGGTTACTTTTTTTCGACCGAGCCCCTCGCCCGGCTCTCGCATGTAATTGGGCTCGCCCTTGAGCTTGTAAATTAAGGGCTTGTAAATGCCTTTGAGGCGCATGGTGCCGTTGCCCGCGATCCTCCTCATCGTTTCAGGCAGGAATACGATAAGCATAAGCAGCACAATGGATGACAATGTGAGCAGGAACACGAATATGGACCTAAAGCCCAGGAAATTCGCGAGGAGGCCACCGAGAACCGGACCGATAGCGATGCTAAAATTTCGAACTAAAAGGGCGTCGCGCCACCATCTCAGCACTGACTGTGTTATTTGGGGATGATGTTAACGTACTGGCTTGGTAGAAACTGATAAAGCTGCCCCTTTCGGCTGGTGGAGAAATATCCTGGATAACGCCGTTTCCTTTTAAGCGCATTTAAAGTTAGCTAAAATACTCCCATTGAGCGTCCCAAAACGTAAGTAGGTAAAACCCTAAGGGGAAGCGATCCCACTTACCGAGGCTGACCGTTGAAGCGCTCCCGGCTGCCTGCAGCCCCCGGAAGATTAGCAGCACCGCAAAGTTGGGAGAGAAGCTGAGCCCAATGTTGGCCACGATGTAAACCAGGGCGGAGGCGATGTAGATGGGCCGCCGGCCCAGCGCGTCCGACAGCGAGCCCCAAATGACCGGCGAAATGCCCTGGATGATTAGGTAAGAGGTGATGGTGAGGGAAACGTCGTTAAGGCTAACATTAAGATCCTGTGTTGCTTGTTAGCGCCTTTGAGCTCGTGGGTGGAGGGGGAGTAGTGAGGTCGGTTCAATGAGAAGACGGAGGTATTTTCACTTGCTTTTGCGACGGAGTCGAGGGCTGGGAAGTAAATGTTGGACGACAAGCCCGAGAACATGCCTGTGACGCCAATGATGACGACGACGAGCCACTTTTGCCTTGTGGAAAAGATGTGGTACGGCTCCTCGGCCTCGGGCGGCGGATTCACGCTGCGCCGCCCCTCGAGCCCCTCGGCATTCTCGTCGGCGAACGGGTTCCGCTTCTCGCTCATGTACTCGTGGTCGCCTCCTCGCTCCGGCTCCACGGAAAAAGCATCATCGAACGGATCGTGGCCCTTGTCTGCCGCTTCCAAGTCCGATCTTCTTCTGCCGGCGACGCCGACCGAGTCGCTCTTAACCGCGCGGGCGGAGGTGCCGTCGTCCTCGTCGTGGCAGCGCTCCAGGTCGAACTGCGGATCGACCGTGATCATGCGTATGCTGGCCCTGTTTAGCGCGTAGAAGTTGTTCCCTAGCTCGCGCCAGCCCTCCATGGTGGTAAAGCGGCGCGAGGCCCGGCGGCTCTGCGCCATCCAGGAATCTCTTTGACTCATTTCTTTTTTCTTTTCCTTTACCGCCGCTCGGATCTTGACGCGTCTGTCTGGAGGGAACGCTTGCTTTAGGGCTGTGTGGGTAACGAACAGAAGACATATGCACACCGGGCTACCAAGGCTTCTTTTTATCAAGACGAGGAGAAAGAGATATACGGCACAATGCAAACAATGGCATGTCGGCTTCTGTAGTTCCGGAGCCAGACGACGGCGCGCAATGGCGGCCCAGGTTACTATCGCCCCGCCCGCGTTCGAGCTGGGTAGGAAGCCCTTGTTCCATAAGTAAGTATGAAACGGCCAAAGCGAAGCCGCTAACGACGACCATGATAAAACGAAACAGGGCGTGTCCGACAAGCTGCAATGTTTCAAATAATTCTACATCATCCGAAATCCAATCCTTGCTAAGGAGTTGGTTCGTCCGGGCCGATTTAAAACTTATCAACGAATTCTTTCTTGGGCGGCGGGAAATGCATGCATGTCCGTCCAAAATACCGGCTTCTTGTCCGGTGTCGGTTGAATGAAACTTCCCGTAGCTGTGTCCGGCTAGCCGGTTCTCTTCCCTTAACAATTCCTTTTTATCATCTTTTCGCCATTCAAATTGGATTGTGCTTGGCTTCCTTTCCCCCCGCAGCTCAATAAATTAATCCTCGCTTTATAACAAAATGGCTGGTTTATCGCGAACCAGGCGGAGGGCCCCTCCACCGAGCCTCGAGATCCTGCCATTGCCGAACGATGGAGATGCGCCGTCGCGACAGCGGCAGCAACCTTCGCTCCCAGTTCCTCCCGACACGGCCGGCCCTCTCTCGCCCCCCGCGCTGGCAAAGCGCGAAACCCCGACGACGAGGACCCCGGGGAGGGTTTCAATCCCCAAGCCAGCCACGACCACGACCCTCACTCCTCCCACAAGCCCCTTCTCCCCGCTGTTGGTGCCGGCCTTCCCGTCGACGCTAACCCGGTCCACCACGAAGGCGCCGGCAGCGACGACGACGGCGGCAGCGATCCAAAGTAGCAGCACGACCAAAAGCCCGACGGTAACCGTCTTCCTGTCGAACTCGGGCCCGACGCTGCTGCTAACGGTTACGGCGCCGGCGCAAACCGTAACCGTTTCCGGCGGTACCGCTTGGAACAACACCACCACCACGACCTCAGCGGGTGCCGTTGGGGACTCCGTCGAGGCATCGTTTGTGCAAACCAGCGCAGCGGCAAACGCTACGGCTCGTTCTGGGGCCGACCCTGCCCAGGCTAACGGCGCAATACCCGCGCAAGCAATCCCCGTTCTGGCCTTTCTCGCAGCCCTAGGTACGAGTTTTTGTTCAAAAAAAAAAGCACCCGCATAGCCTTTCTAATCCCACCGCTAACCTGAAATGATATTTGCATTTTACGCAGCCGGCATTGCGCTATTGGCAGTAGCTGCCATCATCCTTTACCGCCGCAGAAAAAGAGGCAGGAAAGAGTTTAAGGACGAGATAGCATCCGCAGGTTAACGGAGGAGGATATCCGCGGGACGGAAAAGGAAACGGCGGCATAAAGTATGTACAACAAGCATAAACGTAGCGCTTTTATAAAGACGTTCTAAATCATTGCAAATGGCGGCTCGGAGCATAAATCGGAAACACAACTTTAGAAGTACAACAAAAGACGCTTATGGCATAATGACATTATTACATCTTTCTCCCTCCCAAGCCATCCTTAGCAAAACTAAGCAAGAGCTTAAAGAACCAACGCATTCGCTCGCGAGCTAATCCGTTTAGTAAGTGGTTTTTTGGTATTTTTAAATAAATTACCGACTAACCAAATGCCCGAGGTCGATGCCTACCTACCTAATGCCCATGGACTGCTGCTTTGTATGACCGAAATGCGCCACACTTTTTTTCAAGCTGCAGCCAATGCCTCGTCGACACATACCTGTCGCAGAGAAAGGTTTGGGGCGAGTGTAAGTCGGCTCAAGTTCGGCCCAATTGAACCCCTCGCGCCCAAGCACAGGTGCCTTAACGGTAGCAAGGACGCAACTTGATGTTTCGTTTTATGCATAATGGTGTTCCAAATGCCAAGGAAAGCCAAGAGTGAAACAAGCACTGGCGGAGGGGTCAAGAGAAGCTTCAGACAGCGCTAAGGCCCCATCAAATGGGTCGTGGGGGCGTGTTAAGTCAGTGCACCCTTTTTGTGGGCCAAGCTCATTCCAACAGCGTCACGTGCAGCTGTCGCTTTAAGCTCGATTACCAATGCCAGCCGCAGTGGAGCCCCGAGCTTGAGCACGGGTTACATAGCCTGATGGGTTGTGAGGCCGCCGCCAATGGGTTGAGTCACCGGCTTGGGTTTTCCCCGCCTTTATTTTGGCTTTCGGCCAGTCGCGCTACTTCCCGTCGTTCGCTTGTGGTGATGCAGCTTCCGCTGCGACTTTGGTCTCGCCAAGTTCCGTCGCGCAACGCCGCCCAGACCAGCAGAAAGTAGCTGCCTAGTCAAGGCTGTCGCCAGAATGACTGCCTGCCCTCGCATCCACGTCATGGCCCGGCCGCCTCGCGCTCGTTACCGTCCATAAAGACAGTGGTGATCCGGCCGGATCTGGGCCTGTGTCTCGAGGTCATCCACCAAGCATTCCACCCACTCGACATTGTCGCTGCCACTTTATTGACCCAGCTCCAGCCTATTTGAGTTGTCCCGCGGTTGCTGCTCTCGCCCACTCGCCTTTCGCCGACATCATCGACTCCTGCGACTCTCTCGACTCGCCCTCGTCGTTCTCCTCCATCACGATGGCTTTTTCCGGCTGCTCCTTTGTCTCGACGGGGGGACTCTTCCGAAGGCATCTGCCCTTGGTCTCGCTCAAATCGCACACCAGCGTCGTCTCGTCGACCTCGCGCACCACCCTGACACAGACCTTCATCAACCCCCAAGAAACCGAACCCATCGCCGAGCTACGCTACTCCTTCCCGCTTTATGACGGCGTCTCGGTCGTCGCCTTCGTCTGCACCATCAACAACGACCGCGTCATACGCGGCCGTGTCAAGGAAAAGGAGGCTGCTCGCCGCGACTACAAGGACGCCGTCGACCGTGGGGAGACGGCTGGCCTGCTCGAGCAGCTGCCCGACGCCTCCGATGTCTTCACCACCACCATCGGCAACGTGCCCGCCGGCGCCGAGATCCGTGTCGAGATCACGTACCTGGGCGAGCTTAAACACGATGCCGAGGCCGACGGCATGCGCTTCACCATCCCCACCACCATCGCCCCGCGCTACGGCTCCATGTCGCATGACACCCAGCCACTGCCCTTTTCAGCTGGGTGGTCACGGGCTGGCGGCATTGATATTACCGTCGACGTCGAGATCCCTGCTGTTGGCAGCAACCACATCAAGACGATCAAGTCACCCTCGCATCCCATCAGCGTCGAGATGAAAGCATTCGGCGCCACAGGCATGTCGGCTGCCACGGCAGAGCTGTCAATCGGCGCGCTCGAGCTGGACAAGGATTTCGTGGTGATAGTTGTGCTGGCGAAGCCCGATGCCCCAGTCGTTGTCCTCGAGCAGCACCCCTCGATAGCCCACCAGCGCGCCCTGATGGCAACCTTTGTGCCGCGCTTCAACCTGCCCCAGATACGACCCGAGATCGTGTTTGTGTGCGATCGCAGCGGCAGTATGGGCATGGGCAAACGCATACCCAATCTCATCGCAGCCCTCCACGTATTTCTGAGGTCCTTGCCAGTCGGACCAAAGTTCAACATCGTGTCGTTTGGCAGCAGCCACAGCTTCTTATTCGAGCGCTCACGCTCCTACAGCCAGTCGTCGCTCGACGAGGCCAGCCGCCACGTCGACACCTTCGACTCGGGCTATGGCGGCACCGAACTGCTCGCCCCCATCGACGACGTCTTCAAGCGCCGCTATGCGGACATGGAGCTCGAGATCTTCGTGCTGACCGATGGCGAGGTTTGGAACCAGAGCAAGCTCTTTGACATGGTCAACAGCAACATTGCCAAGTGCCAGGGCGCTGCTCGACTGTTCACGCTCGGTATTGGAAATGATGTCAGCACCGCCCTGGTCGAGGGGCTTGCCCGTGCTGGCCGGGGCTTTGCACAGATTGTGGGCGACGAGGAGAAGCTCAACTCCAAGGTGGTCCGCATGCTCAAGGCTTCGCTGTCGACGCACATCAACGACTACAGTCTGGAGATTCAGTACGCGGCCAAGCCCAAGGCCGACACGCAGCCCAAGCCCCTGGATGATTTCGAAATGGTGGAGGAGTCCGACGGCGAGGGGGTGTTGATCGAGAAGGTGCTCGACGCGCTGACGCTCGACGTGGAAAAGGAGCAGGCTGACGCCCCGACCCCAGACGCGGCCGCAGACAAAAAGCCCATCTCGCTGTTTGACTCTTCCGCCGATCCTGATGCAGACCCCGACGCAGACGGTGCCCCACAGGGCGTTGGCGAAGCCAAGTACGCACACGTGCCGGCAGTGCCCATCCCCAAGCTGCTGCAGGCGCCGTTCGAAATCCCGCCCATGTACAACTTTAGCCGCACATCCATCTACGTGCTGCTGGGCCCCTCGTCGTGCCAGCGCACGCCCAAGGCGTTCGTCCTCCGCGGCACCACGGCTTCGCACGAGCCGGTCGAGCTGTCGATGCCGGTGCAGGTGCTCGCCCAGCCCGGCGAGACGGTGCATCAGCTGGCGGCCAAGAAGGCGGTGCAGGACCTTGAGGAGGGCCGCGGCTGGCTGGCGCAGGCCAAGGACGCGGCCGACAGCAGGCTTCTCAAGGAGAAGCACGAGGGCCGGTTCCCCGACATGGTGGAGCGCGAGGCGGTGCGGCTGGGCGTCGGGTTCCAGGTCGGCGGCAAGTGGTGCTCGTTCGTGGCCGTCGACGACAGTACGAGCGAGGCCGAGGCACCCGTGCCGGGCCAGGCAATGATAGCGGAGCAGCTTGTCAGTGTTAAGCACGCCAAGAAGGCTTCCCCGCCCCGGCGTAGGGTGGCAAGGCAATCGGTAGCCCAGACAGGATTCAGTACTGCGCTCCACAGCAGAGTTGCCGAGTCCAACCAGCTCATCGACAGAATTGGCAACAAGTCCGACAGGGCCGACACGGGCTTGCGCACCAACCGTCGCAAGCTTGATACCATTCCTAGAGACGAGAGCAACAGGGGTGGTTTATTTGGATCGGCTTCGAGTTCTGGGTTTGGTCAGACCTCTTCGTTCGGCCAGCCTTCTACTGCCTCGGCCCCTTTTGGCTCAGGCTCCCCTCGTGGTGCCAACCTATTTGGTTCGTCCTCTCCTGCTCCCGCCCCTACTGCTCCTCCCGCTCTTGCACTCTTTGGTGGTCAAGTTCCTGCTTCTCCTTCGTTTGGCCAGACTTGTTCGTTTGGCCAGGGCAAGTCTTCTCTGTTCGGCCAGGCTTCTCCTGCTCCCACCCCTGGCGGCGGCAGCCTGTTTGGTGCGCCGTCTCCTGCCCGTGCGTCCTTGTTCGGCCACGCTTCGACAGCTCCCGCTCCTGGTGGTGGTGGCGGCCTGTTTGGCTTGTCGTCTCCTGCTCCTGCTTCCACTTCGCTGTTTGGCCAGAGTTCTGTTGCTCCCGCTCCATTTAGCTGGAGCGGACCTGGCGGCTCGCTCTTCGGTTCCGCGTCTCCCGCTCCCGTTCAGCCCGCAACTGGTGGGTTTGGTTATCCTGCTAATGTGGGTTTGGTATTGCAACTGCAGCTCTTGATCCCGCTGCTTGCTATGAGGATTTCTCGATAGCGGCTGCCTGCCCGCCGCCGCCGGCTCCCGCCGGCTCCTTTGGCGCCCCAGCACCCCCTCCCCCTCCAGGAGCTCCTCTCGGGTTCGAAGGCGGCTCACAGCCCAGTGGCGACGTCTCGACTGACCCGCTGCCCACAATTGTCAAGCAGCAAGAATTTGAAGGTTCCTGGAGCTGGACGCCAACGCTGCGCACGGCTATGGGCCTGACCGAAGAGGCTGTGCTCAACGGGCTCCCCTCAGATGTGGCCGCCGGCAAGGTTGGCGCTACGGTATGCGTCGTCGCATTCCTCCGCAAGAAGCTGGCCGGTAGTGCCGACGAGTGGGAGATGCTTGCAGAAAAGGCTGTGGCCTGGCTCGAGGACCAGGGCATTGCGGTCGAGCCGCTCCTGGCCAAGGCGGAATTGCTGTTTTGAGGAGTCTTTCCAAGTCGCGTGCGTAGATGGATACACCTGGCTAGCTGATAAATTTTTTAATCCCGCCGTTAGATACTGCCCGTTCCAATCGTGATGTTTTCTTTGCATGTGCCATGCCATGGATGAGCAACGCCCAGCCACCTTCCCGAGCGTCACATCGGCAGCGGGGGTCCGTACCCTGATGGCCAGCATTGACTGGGCCGTGGCGGAGAAGCAGGCCGAAAAGGGCAGGTCGAAGTTCTTTCTTTGCGTGCTGGGCGCGAGTCGCATGGGCGCAATTTTGAGAATGTTTATGCCTGTGCTTGGCTCCGCGTCTCATCCGTGGTTGTGTATATAGGTATAACTGCGGCCGCTCCCGCCGCAGGGACCGGCCCCGATGCCCTGCTGTTGCCCAGGGCGCATCCATCCTGTCCACCTTTTCTTCTTTTGCAATGATGCACCGTCTGCTACGAGCCCTCGTGCTGGCACTGCCCCTGGCCCCGAGCCTCGCGCACGCCGAGCCTGCCGCACCCCGCCGCTTCCCCCGCCGCGACGTGGCCGACGACTCCGGCGGCGCTCCTAAGCGGTTCGTGGTCGAGGCGGCAGCGGGCGTCTCGCTCGACAGCCTCGGCCGGCAGCTCGCCGCGGCCGGCGCGCGGGTCGTCAAGACGTTCGACTCGGACGTCTTTTCGGGCCTGACGGTCGAGACGACGACGGGCGCGCAGCACGGCGTCGAGGGCTTGCTGCGGCGGCTCGGGGTGGACCATGTGGTGGTGGGCGCGTGGCCGGTGCAGAAGATCCCGCTGCCGTCGACGGTCGCCGAGGACGAGGGCGTGTCGCTGGCGTCGCTTGGCGAGGGCGCGGCGGCGCAGAACTGGTCGATTCACCACTCGACGGGCGTTGATGAGTTGCACAAGGCGGGTTTCTTGGGCAAGGGCGTCAAGGTCGCTGTTATCGACTCGGGGGTTGACTACCGCCATCCTGCTGTACGTCTTGTGTTTTTTTTTCCTTCCTGGTCTGTTGGGCGTGCTGTGCTGACAAGGATGCGACACAAGCTTGGAGGAGGGTTCGGGCCGGGATTCAAGGTGTCTGGAGGTTATGACCTGGTGGGAGATGGTGAGTGTTCCTTTTGCGTGCTGTCAGGGTGGCTCTCCAACAAGGATGCTGACGCCGCCGGATAGAATATGACGGCACCAACCCCAAAAAGCCAGACGGCGATCCCATGGACTTTCTCGGCCACGGCACTCATGTTTCCGGCATTATTGCTGGCAAGAACGAATTGTAGGTCGACGCTTCAGGAGGCTTCCAAGACATTACCATGCTGACCTTGTATGCAGTTTCGCTGGCGTAGCTCCAGAAGCAGAGATTCTCTCCTTCAAGGTCTTTGGCGCTGTAAGTTGCGTCTTTCTGTGGTTTCCAACTTCGCTTACAGCGCTAACACACGCCCAATGGCTCCATCCAGGTTGAAGCCACCGACGAAGACACGCTCGTGGAAGCCACATTGATGGCCTACGAAGCAGGGGTACGTCACTCTCCCGGCGCAAGAAGCTGCCCACCGCACTAACACCAACACAGGCCGACATCATCACAGCAAGCATCGGCCGGGCATCCGGGTTCGCCGACGGGGCGTGGGCCACGGTGGCGTCGCGCATCGTCGGGCGCGGCGTCGTCGTCGTCATCGCGGCCGGCAACGACGGCGATGAGGGCCCCATGTACGCTAGCAGCGGCTCGTCGGGCCGCGACGTGCTGGCCGTGGCCGCCGTCGACACCAGCCTCGTCCCCGCCAAGCCGTGGCGCGCCACGTTCTCGACGGCCGACAACCAGACTCGCACGATGCAGATGGCCTACATGCCGCCCGTCAACCGCCCGCTGTGGAATCTCAGCGGAGTGACCATCCGGCCCCTCAGTCTCGACACGGCCAACCCGTCCGATGGCTGCGGCGCTCTGCCCGCCGACATGCCCGACCTGTCTGGCGTCATCGTGCTGGTTCGCCGCAGCCTCGCGTGCAGCTACTACGACGTCCAGGCCAACGTGGAAAAGTTTGGGGCGCGCGCCGTACTGTTCTACAACAACGACCGCCGACCCTTTGCGCACGTCGTCAACTCGGCTTACAAGTCCCAGCTCGCCATGATTGACGCCCAGGCCGGCGCTGCCATTATCGAGGTGGTCAAAGCCGGCGGGAGTGTCACGGCCGACTTCACTCCTCCACAGGACGACAACTGGGCCGTCGGGTTTCGCGACAGCCCCGTCGGTGGCATCCCGTCGACCTACAGCAGTTGGGGTGGCACCAACGACCTGGGCATCAAGCCCGACGTGGCGGCGCCCGGCAGCCGCATCTGGAGCACTTTTCTCAACGGCACCTTCAAGACGCTCAGCGGCACCTCGATGGCGACGCCGTACCTGGCGGGCGTGGCGGCGCTGTACATTGGCGCGCACGGCGGGCGACAGGTGCACGGGCCGGGCTTCGCGCGCGCCTTGTCCCGGCGGCTCATCGCGAGCGGCGCGTCCCTGCCGTGGCAGGTCATGGAGGTGGTGGAGCTGCCCGTCGACTTTGGCTTCCTCGCGCCCGTGCCGCAGGCCGGGTCCGGTCTCGTCAACGCCACCAGGGTGCTGGCCCAGACGACGACGCTGGCCCACGAGCCGCTGGCCCTCAACGACACGGCAAACTTTAGGCCCGCGCACGCCGTCGACATTACAAATGGCGGGAGTGAGCCGGTGTCTTATACCTTCTCGCTGCTTCCCGCGGGTGGGTTCAACCTGCAGGGGCGCACCACGGGCTTCCTGGCCGATGTCCTGGACGTGAAGCCCTTTGCGCTTGCCCCGCGGGTCGACTTTCCGACTGCGCCGTTTGTGGTGGCGCCAGGAGAGACGAGGAGAGCAGAGTGAGTCTGACTGACTGGCTGGCTGGCTGGCTGGCTGACTGACACCTGCGTGTGTGTTGCTAATTCTCGCCCACACAGCCTTGTCTTTACCGCGCCACAGGCTGCCGACCAATCCAAGCTACCCGTCTACAGTGGCAAGGTGGCCATCACGGGAAGCAACGGTGACGTCTTGGGGGTCCCGTACTACGGTTCGTGAACCACGTTGCCGCAGTAACAACTAACCATCCATCGTTGGAAGCTGACACCAGACAGGCGCCGCCTTTGACCTGCGCCAGCAGACCCAGGGCAGGATGTTCCCGCCATCCTATCCGTTCCAGCGCTCGGGGCCGCGGGGGCAGGACATTGACGTGTACAATACGTACTCGTTCAACCTAAGCCGCGCCGCCCAGGACTTTCCCAAGGTGCACGCCATGTTTTTCTGGGGCGTGCGGGAGCTGCGATGGGATGTGAGTAACTGCTGCTGTGACATCTGTGTCCTTGGAGCCTGCTATATCTAATTACACATACCCTTTCCAGATCTTCAACCCCAGCTACAACGAGAGCCAGTGGACGTATCCCCCCGTCGTCGGCCAAAACGGCTACGTCGGCTCGGCCACCTATTCCACATACGCCTCCTCCCGGGCCACCTTCGACCCCGCCACCATGGACAAGGACCGCGTGCTGCCGTTCCCTGCGACGCTGCTGGAGCGCACCACGTCGTGGAGTCAGGTTGGCAGGCGCTTCTGGTGGCTGGGCCGGTTCGCCAACGGGTCCGACGTGGCGCCGGGCAGGTATCGAATGCGCTTCGCCGCCCTCGCCCCCAACGCCGACCCGGCGCGCCCCGAGAGCTGGACCGTGTGGAAGACGCCCGAGATTTCTGTGGTGTAGCCAGCCGGTGCGGGCTTTGTCAAGCACATGGCAGAGGAGAAATTATTTGGGTTCTCACGCCACATTTTCACGTTCCCACTGTTGTTTTAACAAATGCAAATTGACGTCGCTATGGACCTAGTCTATTCAGTGGGTGCCTACAACGCTACTTGCTTCTGTTTAAAAGTGCGGTGTTTTGTTCTAAGCTAATGCCCAAACGTTGGCTCATCTCCTCTCCACCGACTCCTGTTCGATCCATTATCATCTGCTCGGTGCTCTGAATCGGACCCTTGATGGCTAAGTTGGGTTTCCCCTTGCCGGGTCTTGCTCCTGTCACTCGGCCATGGCACCGGTTTCGGTTTCTCACGTCACATTTCACGTTCCCACTGCTGTTTAAATAAATGCAAATTGACGGCGCTATGGACCTAGTCTCCTCGTACCAGCTTCTGGCCGCGCTGCGCGACCCTGTGGCATGGGTAGACACGCAGTTCCGGCAGTGGGTGGCTACAACGCTACTTGTTCTAAGCTAATGCCCAAAGGGCCGGGTCCTCCCCAAACGATGGCTCATCTCCTCTCCTGTTCAATCCATCATCCGCTCGGTGCGCTGAATCGGACCCTTGGTGGCCGAGTGCTGTTCAAGGGACAAGCCTTCCCGCATGGGTGTGCTCTGGGCCTGGTGGTGGTCCCGAGCACAGTAGGGCAAGTCCCTGTTCCTCTGCGTGTAGCCGCAGCGTAGGCAGTAGCTGTGGAAGGTCTTTAGCGAGGGCGTCCAAATGCAGTTGTCTTCGACGAGGCGGCTGATGAACTCCCTGAGGTCCTTGTCGCGCGGCTTGTTGGTGAGGCCCGTCGACGTGAAGACGGTGACGGTGGCCAGGCGGGCGCGGCTGATGCCGACGACCATGGTGGACCTGTCGCCGATGTAGCCGGCCTGATCGCTGTCGCGGGCCGTCAGATGGATGGCGTAGTCGAACTCCCGGCCGACGGCCTCGGCGAGCGTGAGCACATGGACGAGCGACGGGACGTGGTCCGACGTCGACAGCTTCCTCATGCGGCGGCGCACCAGATGGGCCATGGCGTCGTCGGCGCAAATGATGGCGACCGTGGGGCGCTTCCACTCGTCCTCGGCCGACACGCCAAAGAGCATGACCATGCGGACAAAGTAGAGCATGGCCTTCTCCAGCGCGTCTTGGTACTCATCCTGGGGAGCGGCGAAACGCGAGGCCGGGCCCCAGATTTCGGGGTCCGAGATCTGCTCCATATCCCAGGCGACGACGTTGGTGCGCGCGTTGGGCGTGCCCAGGGCGGCCCGGACGAGCTTTTGCGACACGGCTTGGGCGGGGTTGGGCCGCCGCACGCGGGGGGTCTCCAGACGGCCGCTGCAGAACAGCTTGTTGAGGAGATCGGTCTGGCCTCCGAGATGACGGTGGTCGGTATGCAGATGCACGACAGCCCCGCTCGCGGCAAAGCTGCGCATAAACGCGCTGATGTCCAGCTGGGCTGACTGGTGCCGGGCCCTGGCGATGCGGCCGCGGCGGTCGTGGGGGCCGCCGGTGGTGGCGGAGGAGGAGGAGGAGGAGGAGGAAGCGTTCGGGCCAGGGCTCACGAGCCCCGGCTCGAGCAGGCTGCCCTCCAGCACGCGGACGATGGCGTTGGGACAGGCGACCTCGCTTATGAGCCGCGAAGTCTCGCTCAGGTCGGCGGCCTGGGGATAGACGATGAGGCTGACGTCGTCCAGGATCTTGGGCGCGTTCTGGCGGATCACGTGGAGGCCCACGGCTGTCGTGACGATGGCGCGAGCCTCGTTCAAGAGACCCGCCATGATCTTCACCACGTAGTTCCGGCAGCGGGCCCGGAAGTCCGTTTCCTTGCACAGTTCGGCGGCGTAAGAGATCAGGTCGTTGCGGAAGTCGGAGTGCGACGGGTGGTTGTTGATCAGCGCTCCGACCCTTGCCACCAGTGACGAGGGCTCGCCGTGTTCGGCCCTCCGCCCGCCCGTGCGGGCCGCGATGTGCTTCGTCATGACCTCGTCGAGGACGTCGAGCGCGCACTTGTCCCACTCGGCGATGATGTCCACCCTGAGGATGCCGTCTTCGAGGTCTCGCTCTGGCTCGCGCTTGTTTGGAGTCATTGCGGCCATGGTGCGCAGGCGGCTGGCGAAGTGATCGGCCTGCTTCTCGTTGTCGCACACAACCGCTACCCGGCCGCCTTTCACCATCAAGGCCGCCAGTACGAGCACCAGCACGGCGTGCGTCTTGCCGGTGCCGGGCGCGCCGATGATGCTCAGAGTGCCATAATCGAAGTTGTTGGGGGTGAAGATCTTGCGCTGGTGAGAGTCGAGTTCGAGGAAGTGATGGGAGATGCAGGCCTCGGGCGCGCAGTTCAACTGGCTGACCAGCATGTTGAGGGCCGGGAGCCTGGCCACGTTGTCTTGATACTGGCCATTCCAAGAGTACTCCAACAAATACCTGCCAGTGTCCGTCGCCAGGGCCTGGCCAGCGGCCGCGTCGATTGCATTCAAGCGCAGGGTCAGCATGGCGTCGGGCCACTGCGGGACGATGGAGCACCTGAACCGGCCGGAGCTGTCCGCCACGCGTTGGGCAAAGTCCCGCTGATCCGCAGTGTCCAAACCGCCCAGGTGGAAGTCGAAGTGGCCCGCTTCCAAGACCTCGTCGTGCCCGTCGCCGGCGTGAGCCACCACGAACTTGTGTATAGGTGGGTACGCTATAAAGGCCGCGCTAACGTGGTTTTGCAGCGCGCTTTCGAGGTGCACGCGCCGGGCTGCGAAGATGGGAGGAGGGCCCCTCGAGGCGTAGTCGTAGGTTGGGAGACGCAGGAGCTTGGGTTGGTTCCTGACCACCTTGATGACGGTGTCGTGGTAGATGCCCTTGGGGCGCCTCCACGTTGTCACGCCGCCCTGCGTGACTTCGACCGGCAGGAGGGCCTGGTACAGCCAGCCGAAGCTCTGGTTGCTCTGTCTCAGCCGGTCGAAATCAGTCGCCCCCATATTCGCAATGTTGGCGCAGGCGTGCTCCGGCTCTCGGTTGTCGAAGCGGGCGAGGGCTTGGTACACGGAGCGGACGAAGGCCGGGGTGTCCTTGGCGGCTGGGGTCAGGGGCGAGGGGCCATCGTAGAAGAGGTCTGTCATGAGGGTCGCAATCGCCCGCAGCTTCTGCTCGTCCGAGGGCGGCTTGGGCGGCTGTGGGGCAGTGAACTCGACGCCATGGAACCGGATGCCGCAGCTCTCCCCCTGGCTCGGCAGCAGGTGGGGGGCGTCGGTCTTCACGTAGAGCATGTACATGGCCCGTACTCCGTTCACCCTGGTCCCCTTGACTCCCGCGGCCGCGCAGGTGACGTGGTGTTCCATGACGGCCGAGTTGTGCTGCAGCTTGAGCTGGTGCGCCCCAACTTCGGCACGGGCGAGACAGACGCTTCGATCGGCCGCATCCCAAAACCAGGCCCTGTGGGGCTCGGGGCGCTCTTGATGGCCGATCTCCTTCTCGGCAGAGGACTCGAAGTCGGCCAGCAGGGCATCCCGATCAACAACTACCTTGTCGTTGTCGGGCTGTGCAAGGAGAAATGCGGCACCTGGGTGCGTGGGGGCCTGGGCGACTGCAAGGATGCCATTGATCATGGCCATCTTGTCCCGAAATCCAGGATCGCCTGGCACGAGATAAAGATCCAGTGTGATGGGATCAATGTTGGGGCTTGGCTTCTGAAGTGAAGATCGGAAGGCGCGAAGTGAGCTTTTGATCCGATCTGTGTCGTTGTTCCGGATCACAGCCGGGAAGAATAGGATCTTGACGCCACGGCGCAAGAGGTTGATGCGGACCCTGACGTACTTGGCCAGCTCGCCGCCGCCGACGAAGGCCTGAAGGCTCGGTGAGAGCTTGTGACCGCCGACGTCGAACTCCCGCTGCTCAGCGCCCCCGACGCAGTGCTTGGAGCAGACAACGATCTTCGCCACCGCATCGCGACGGGCTTCGGGCGAGTGTTGGGAGGCCAAAGTCACATCGATGTGAAACTCGCCGTAACCGTAGCTTGGCTGCGAAAGGGAGACTCTCTGCAACATGCCGGGGATGGAAGGATCCGTCAGTTGCACGCCTTTGATGTCAACACCGCATGGCTTCAGAGTCACACTCTTTCTCGTATAGAGATCCTCCAGAGCGGGGTCTCGAGACATGGTGACAGCTGGACCGTGAAGGGTGGGAGGGGAAGACGAAGAAGGCGGAAAGAAAGAGGGAAGGGGAGTTGGGAAGTCAAAGGCAAGAGGGGAACGAAAGAGAATAGCGACACGGGAAAAAAGAGGGAAACGAAAGAGAAAAAAAGTGGAAGTCAATGTTCACGTCAAAGACGACTGATTCTTGCAGGTAGCGTGTACCTTGGTTGAGTTGTAATGGTGTGAATTGTGGGAGGAGGCAGGGAGGAAGAGGGAATGGCTGCCGCATTAAATAGGCAAACCCTGGCAGCTAAGAGAGCATATTCCAGAGCCAAACATGACAAGGGGACAGAGTATGACCGAGGCAGCAGAGGTGACAATGGGAACAGTCAAAGCAACCCGCACAAGCGTCATGGTTGGAGTCAGCAGACGGGGAAGGTCAGGAGGGATGCGGGAAGTGATTCAGCAAGGCAAACGGTGCGGGCGTGGGCGGAACCCAGCCAGTCTCCTCCTCGGCGGACCACCACAGCGGCAGCCTTGTTCCGACGCTCGGGCCACCCAGCTGCCTCGAGGGGGGAGGAAATGGGCAGGAGTAGGCGCTCGGGAGACGCCCAGCCACGACTCCCGTCTTCACTCGAGATGGCTTCAAACCCAGCGACAACCCAGCACCCGCCATCCCGCTGAGGGACTTGACTTCACACAATACGGCTACGCCCAGTTCCCTATCGCCGCCGCCATCAGCGTCGCCGTGTTCGCCATCCTCGCCACGCTCTATTCTGGCAAGATTTACAAGCACAGGCCTTTGTACTCTGTCCCAGTCGTTGTCGGCGGTGCTTGCCAGTGCTTCTCGACATCCCCTAAGCGCAGCCGGTGGCTGTGGCTGGCAGGATCGATCACCCAAAGCTGCGGACGGCCGAAGTGGTTGGATATGACATGTCCGTCGGGGCATTCACCGTACAGACCCTGCTAATTCTCCCCGCGCCGCCCTTTTCGCCGCTTCCATCTACGCCATTCTCGGCCGCCTTGTCATTGCCGACGGCGGCGCAGGTTTCTTCTCCAGATCACCTTCGCCTTTTTCATGGCCACCGCCGTCGTCATCCACGCCCGCGGTTTCCAGCAGCCGTCCCTGTCCGGCATCCCCTATCACCGCCACCTGCTGGTGCTTTACGGCATCAGTCTCCTCACATGGTCCGGAGCATCTTCCGCCTTGTCGAGTACCTGCAGGGCAACGGTGTCACAAAGGAGGCTATCACCAAGGGCCGGCACACTGTTCCAGGCCTTTGTTCGGACGGTCTGCACGGGCACCGGTGCCGCACAGGGTAGATGCTTGCCGAGCACTCGTCGGCAATGACGGGGGCGCGGTAGCGAGTGCCGCGCCTGCAAAAGAGGGGATCGCTGCCGGGATAGCGTTGTCGCCTGCAGCGGGCCGGACGGTTCCGTTAGATAGCCTTCCGTTTCACTGCGGTTGGGGCGTTGGCCAATCGCACCCGCCCCGCCACCCACCCGACTGCCAATGGCATGGACGGGTGTGTGCGCAGTAATCAAACCATACGTACCCGTCAAGCGTGACGTCCGCCCTCGACCGAAGGGTGGATTCGCTTGTCCCTGTTCCCGAGTCGGCTATAACATCAATCGGCCAAGGTGCCCCTCGCTTGTGGTCTAGACTCGCGCCGTGCCAATCAACCGGGAATTTGGACTCGCTGACTGAGTGCGGTGGCTCGAGCTGGAGGGACGCGAATTGGTGGCGGGGGACAACGCGTTCAACAACCGGTGAGTCGGGCTGTGTCACAGACAGCCCCGGCACATGCTCCGTGAGGGGCGAAAAGTGGGGAGTATGAACATGAAGTGGGCCAGCCAGCCGAAGCAAGCTCGGTTAAATCGCTCACACATGGCCAGGCGGGAAAAGCTATGGTCACCCCGCCCTGCGTTTGCGTGGAGAAAAACCCCCATGCCAAGCGCTCGACGACCGAAGCCCCGGGATTCTGCTTATGCCTATTCTGCAGGACCTTTAAACCTGTATCGGTATTCGATCCGTGCCTTGTCGTGTCTGGGGTTGGTGGTCCGCAAAGCTGCGGGGCAGGGGTTGCCGTTTGTGCCTGCGTGATTGTAAATGTTATTCCCGACGTGAATGCGGCTGTGCTCCCTAGTGATAACATCGCGGGTGGAAGCAGGCGTCGTGTCCGCGCCTGTACTCGTAGCTGCCGGTGTTGTCGACCGCGTCTTGTCGCATCGATGGAGGCCGTAAGATAGCCGACCGCTGGTCCAGCGATAGCTTCGGCGGGACAGGAGGATCTTGAAAGTGTTGGAAAGCGGACGTATGCGGCTGAGGTCGATGGCGGGGTAATGCCGCCAAGTTATCAACCCCGCCATTCTACGGTTTTTTGTTACGACCAAATGGCTAAACCCCGTACCCATTTTTTCGATCCTCGAACGACCGCTAAAGCTCGCATTCTGGCGCTTGAATCCTACGATCGCAGCCCTTCGGATACGGCTTCGGAACGTTTCTTACCACGACTTCCGATCCTGGGTTCCCAGAAACGCCATCCACGTTCGTAACGGCTTCATTGCCGCGCCGACGCTTCGGTCGGACGATACCGAAACAAGCTTATTCGGGTTCCAGCGGCCGCTGCCGTAACGCCTGGCCGCTAGTTTTCCCCAGGGCCTCGATTGCCCGAAATCTCGGCCTGGTCGTCCCGCTTACGCGAGCATCCCGGCAAAATCGAGATAGGCCCCAACAGGAGTCTGATCCTGGCGTCTCTCTCTTTACGTACCTCCGCCGCTTCGAAAAAGCCTCCTCCTTGACGGTCCGCAACAGCCTCTGACCGCAGCTCGCAAGGCTATGCGTTCATGCAAGTTCCTGCTCGCACTTTCATTTCTCTTTCTCTCTGTTTCCCGGAATGCGGCCTGTACTGACTGGTAGCTTCTTGTATCAACAGTCGACCGACGCTCTGGGCCGCACAGCCGACGTGAGAGCCCTGCATCCAGACACGGAGACCCCGACGGAAACTAAAGTCGAACAAGGACCAAGCCCGCAAGGCCTGTCGGACGGTAGACAATAACGGCGGCGACAGCTAAGGCAACGAAGAAAGTACGAAAGCCGGAACAGTCGAGGCCAGTGAAGGAAGATCGGCTGGCGACAGCATTGACGGCCAGATCGCAAGGCATAGTGTCCGGGGCCGAGGGATGATGCGGCGGTCTGGTACTGAGCCGCCACTCCCACCATAATCGCCACCCGTCGTTGTGATTGCTGCCCTCGTTGTTTTTTCTTTTCTCTTCCCTTCCGTGTGGTTCTGACCTACCTCCCTCACCTCTAACTATCTCTCCCACAACTGTTCTGGTGGCGACATCACTCGCCACCACCTCTGCGCTCCGTCGCACCAAGATGGATGTACTCTCCGTCTTCAACCACCTGGTCCTCCCGGCGCGGGTGCCAGGCAAGCCAGACGAGGATACCTGGCGGGTCTCAGACGACGTGCTTGCTCGGATCAGCAATGCTTGCTACAAGGCGACAGCGCATGCGAGGCCTGCCTGGTCGGTCGCTTTCCAGGCCGTCCAAGTATCCCTTGACGCCTGTTACGACCTGAACGAATTGGGCCGACTTGACCGAACCCGCATGCTTGCTCATTTTTGCAGCCTCAGCCCCGGAAACGTGCTGGTGCTCCATATTGCCCCACAGAACGCGGCCCTGCTCATCTGGATCCAGGTTCGGTAAGTCTTCCGCATTTGCTTGTCCCAGTAACGAACCCTCTTGGAGTGCCCGGGCGCTGACGCACGTGACAGCAACGGCAATCACCAGGTCGTGTTTGAAGCCTTCGAGGCTTCGCCAACCACCACTGCCGTCCTCGCCGCCCCGCGCGCGCTCGAGTGGGACTTTCCCGGTCGCTCTTGCCGCCTCTCTCTTGAAGCTTTTCAGGACCCTTCATTCCAACTGAGCCTGGCTACCTTCCTTGAGCAAGCCAGCATGGAATCGCTGAACAGCCTCAGCGCACAGATAACCAAGGCCGGCATCTCGGTCGCCGAGGAGCGCGACACGTCCGATCCTGCCCTTATCACCCAGATGCTCATGTCGATACTCGAGGCCGTTGGCGAGGCGAGACAGCCGAACCTGCTGCGAAAACACGTGCGGGACGACGTTAACATGGTCGACGCCAAGCTGCCGTGGCGCCGTCTGCCGTTCTGGCTCGTCCTCCGCATCGCGGCCAGGCGCCAGCTGGGCTTGGGTCTCGGAGAGAGCGAGGGCCGGTTCGCCTATAAGTGCCTCATTGCCATCTTGCTTGCGCGGCTCCTCAGAGACTCGGCCGGCCCGCTGCCCCCAGACATGCCCATCATCCTCCGGGCCAAACTGTGTCGCCGCATGGCCAAGCTGCAAATGGACCTAAAGCAGATGCAGCCGTCAAGCGTCGAGGATTGCACAGCTCTCCTGTCTTCGGTCGATCTTCTTGTCCAGGAAGCGGTACGCGAGGCCACCACCCAAGTCAACAAGGCTTGGGCCGCGTTCAAGTCTAAGACGCAGCGCTTTACTCCGATGCTTCCCCGCTACGCTGACGAGGGCTCTCTCCGACTCTCTCTGCCCAACAGCGGGGCGTATCTGGACAGTTTGCTGAAATTCCAGGTCCCGTCTCGCGCTGTTTTCGCCTCGCTTGATCTCCCTCGTCCGCTCGATACAGCCATCCAGCAAGCCCAGGATTTCACCGACAAGGCCTTCGCTCTGGCCGCCCTCGACAGTGGCAAGAATGGTGCAGCCGATATAGCTTCCTACTCGAGCGGCGAGGAGAAGTGCCGGGAGCTTGCTCGTCTTATCGATGAAGTTTTCAAAAGGGCCAGTGTCTTGTACGACGGAGATCCCGTGCTTCAAAGCTTCAAGGTGCTCACAATTTTCTCCCTGTGGATCCAGCTGGATGCGGCAGCCATTGCAGTGTGCCCTCTTCTCAAAAAGTACGCTCCCGTCTTCGAGCCCAAGCTCCTCGACGCCCTTCAGCTGCCCAACCTGTCCGATATGCGTCGCCTGCAGGAGATGCAGATCTACCTCGACAGACGAATCTCGGAGGCCTTGCGTGGAAACATCTTTCAAGTCAACAACCATAGCTGTCTTGGGGCAAAATACAGCGCGCAATCGAGCGCGGTGCAGGCCCTCGGGGAGTCTGTCCAGGCCGCGTCCGACTACGAGGAGCAAATGAAGGAGGTGGAGTGGGCCAGCGTGTGCAACAAATACGACGAACATACCTCGGAATATCATTGTATGATCTGCCAGTGCTCTTTTGACGAGTACGGGGAACGGGACGTTCGGGGGTGCACCAAGTGTTGGCATTGGCGTGCTCGCAAACGCCTGGGCATTCATGTGTTCGAGGCGTACCTTCCTGACACGGAGCCGGCTCGCGCAATTGCGTTGTTCGAACTAGGCATCCCGGCCTATCTCGCCACATACCGCGACACCACCTGGCGTGTTCTCAGGTCCCTAGCGCACCCTAGTCGGATTGGAACCCCAGGGGAGGCGGCGAAGCTGCTGAGTGCCACGCCGCTTGGGCAATACATGTGCGACAGGACGCAAAAGCAGAAGATCACCCTGGCGTCCCGTGTCAAGTGCTTCACCGACACCCACTACTCGTTCATCGGCGGCAAAGTGCCCATGGAGAAGGTTATTCTGCCCCTCGCAGCCAGGTTTGAGCTTTATGACCAAGACTCCAAAACCTGGGTGGGGGAGCTCGCCAAGCAGCTGACGCTCGAGCACCTCTGCGGTGTCCACGTCCCCCGAACACTTCGATCGACAGTGCTACCGCCAGCCCGCCACCCCGCACCACAAATCGCTGGACCCTCATCCTACGAGGTCCAGGCAAACAGCAATCAGTGCCCAGCCGAAGTGTCGGGCCAGGAGTTTGCTGCGCACCAGGAGCTACTCTCCGGCACGACTCGCCGCTGGATCCAGATTCTAGTCCAACTGGGCTCGTCGAGCCTCAACTTCAGCAGCCAGGAGACGGTGAAGCTGCTGTCACAGCTCGCTGTCCAAGCCGGCCCGCGGCTGGGTGGCGATGTCTTGCGACAGGCCCACGTGTCTTTCAGGGAGCCCGGTTTTGTCGAGCGGCTGTTAGATTGCGTTCAAAAGCGCTTAGGGAGCATCCTAAAAAATTGGAGGGAGCACCAGTGTATGGAGCTGCTCATCACGTTAACTTTGCGAATTTTCCAGCTGGCGCCCGACGCCACAGAACGCAGGCGTGCACAGGGGCTTCTCGACACGGCGAGGGAGGCCACTCTTAGCTGGACCGTCCAGCTCGGCGAGCAGGTGCGCAGCACCAAGGATGCGGCCGTGGTCCAGCGGGCATCGGGATATTGCTTGTGGGCAGGCCTTCTCTGCCGTCGAACCTTCGCCGCGTATGTCGACCCGGCGCACACAGTTTATACCTTAAGCCCAGAGCAGCTGGCGCACTGGGTCCAAGGGTCGGTGGCCTTGCAGGAGAGCATCCGTGTCGACATTGACCAACTCCCTCACATGGAGAAGCACGCACTCTTGCGTGATGCCATGACAGCATTTCGGCTCGTTCCTCTTCTGCGAAGGTCTGTCGAGGCACATCCTGCGGCCGTTGGCAGGGGCATCGATGCCAGCTGGTCCGGAGCGCCGGTGGCAGGTGACGCTCCTATCAACGGCGACATCATTTCTGCATGGGATTCCGTCGCTTCTCACGATCGCTGGATTGTCGGTGTCATAACGGACCCCAAAGACGGCAATGGCCAGCGTATCCTAGGGCACCCCCAGGTCGTGCATTACAACTTCGTTGAGGGCCACCTATTGGTCAACGGAAAGACGCAAGGCAAACTACCCCGCGAAATCTGTGACAATCCCGATGTCAAAACCCTGTTTGGTGACAAGCATCTCCTCACGTATCCATTCCTCGGGGGCAAAATGACGCATCGGCTGGTGACCCGCGAACATGGCCAAGAAGTGCACTTTGGCCTCGACAGGGAGAAGAATGTGGTGATTCAGTCGATATCGAAACAGAGTCGGCTTCAGTTCGTGCCCAGCCGCATCTTCGCCGGCCCGGACTCGTCATTTGACCTCCCCTCTGAGCTGGTGGAAGGCTGTGTTCACTGGCTTAATCTGGGGACCCGGTGTCTCGAGGTCCGACGTGCCCCCGATATCTGGCGCAAGCGTCCGCGTGACTGGGTGGTCGACGTTGATAACCGGCGAGCGCTTCGTGGCAAAGTAACTTTGGTCGACCCGCGATCGGCCGTGTTTGCCTCCGTCGAACGCATCCTGGCGCATTTTGAAACGCCCGAAGCGCTTACAGTTTACCAGCCTGCGACAGGAAGACTGATGGTGGCCTTGCGGCGGCTAGACCTCGCGTTCGGAGTCAATAAGAGCGGTCGCCTAGAGTGTGAGGAGCTCGGAGCCGAAATTGACCCGGACCAAAACGCCGGGACGTGGTACGGCCTAGCGAGCAAAATCGTGGTGCGGGACGTGGCTACCCAGGAGCGCAGCGTTCTGGTTCCGCTGGGCATTCCCGCCTGGAGGCGATTCGGAATGCATGTTGAAGTGCGCATGAAGGGCGCCACAGAATACGGCCGGTTTGGGATTGACACCCTACTGGGCCGGCTGACGTGTGCGCCGGAACCAAAATTGCTTTTCGTCAAGGCAGTCTGCCACGCATTAACATCCTTCTGCCTCCCTGATCCGTTAACGAAGCGAACGGGCACAGAAGAGGCGCTCGCCATCCTTGCCTCAGGCATTGTCCAGCCGTGGACCCCCATTAACGCGAATTTGAAGTCGAGCTTCGAGTGCTTTGAAAAGATGCTTCCACGCAGGCAGTATTATCCGCCAAAGCTTAAGCGCCTGCAGCAGGTGGTGTGGAATGATCACTTAACCACAACAATCCAGCACGACGGTTATCGTGATTTGCTTCGCGACATTATCGAAAAGTCCAACCGCCTTGGGGACTTCGCCGCTGTCCACACCGCGCACGACTCGAGCCTCTCTCAACCTGCAACACCGCTCGACCGCCGTGGAGAACTCCAAAGGCGTTTGTACGAACGACCGTTTTTCGACGTTAATGGTACTGGCGATAACAAAGCTGGCCGCAATAACACCATCCGGTACACACCTCGGGACCGCGTCAAAACACCCAGAGCTGAAAAGGTGTTCCAGGCGGCCCGCCTCGTTGTTCGACGCTGCGAGGGCCTGCACATGAACAGTACGCTGGCCTCGATACTTGAGACTTGGGATCAGAGCAGCCCAATAGGAGGGTTCCAGCCACGGTCAAAGGGCGTCTCAACAGCCTCGAACACACCTCTCCTCGACCAGATCGAGGGTTCTATCCAAGAGAAGTGGGGGTATATCGTGCAGTTCTGCCAGGCAGCTGACGTTAAGCAGCACCAGGGAACTTTGCTCTTCCGGCTCGGACTCTTGGCGTTTGGTCCTGTCGACATGGACATCGTCCACTCGCTGGCCGCTTTTGCCTGTATTAGCAGCCTGAAACAGATGCAGCCGCCGGACCGCACCCAATTCACGGACTTCCCGTCACGCGGGAAACCCTCATCAAAGGAGCTGAATAAGCTGGTTATGTCTGCGTGCTCGACTTGGAGGGGCTCACACTACCAAGAGCGGGGGTTCCGTGAGGTGGTTGATTCGGTCGGCCGGACCGTGGAGCAGCACAATGCGCTATGTGAGCGGGAAACCGAGCAGTTCTCCAGGCGATTGCTGGGGCAGTGGCCTGCGCCTTCCGACATGTTGTCGACGGACGACTGCGCGCAGGAGGTGCTTGACCTTGGCCTAGCACTGGAGAAGATTGCCGCCGAGTGGGAGCGCAGGCGAGATAATGATGCGCTTGAGGGGTTTGTCAATCGTGTGCAGGCGATCCTGGACTCGTGTCAAAGTTCGCTGGACGGTGCCAGGCTCGCGAAGTGGACGGGCAAGAAGAACCCCCACCTGCCAGTTTCGCACCGCGACGTCGTTCCCTTCTCTGCTCGGGATCTGGTGCTCAAGCCTGGGCCTCTGCTCCGCCCCTTCTCCATGCGTCCAGCTCGACTCGCGGCAAGCAATACAGGGCCGACAGCTGTTAATGCCCCCAGCGTACCTTCCACCACGGCCGAAACAGCTGAGCTTCGAGCCATCCTCAACAATTTCACGACCGCTGGCGACGAGCTGCGCAAGGGGTACGGCAATGATCTCTTGCAGAGTCTGCAGGCACTCGAGGACGGCGTGGGCCAGACGCCTCACTCCTCCCACAATGACCCCAAAGCACCAACTGCTGCAGGCCTCGATAGGTGCATAGAGAGACTCCGACATGTGGTCGCGGACGATTTGAGCCAGCTCGCTGACGCCTTCGCCGCCAATGACACAAGATCCCCCTGGCTTCGTTTGGGAGCCATGTGGCCCTGCATTGAGACGCCGATGGTCGTACTCCCGCTCCTGCGGTCGGCATCGTGTCTAAATACCAACGGCTGCGACCCAAGCATGAAAAAAGCACTCGTACATTACGGGCTTAATTTAACGGCCCTGCAGCAGTTAGAGCGCATGCGACGCGCACTGCGCCGAGATAACACACCCGCACTTGATGACGAGCTCCGCAACCCAGGCCATCAGAATTGGTCGCCCCATCGCGAAGCCACCGACTGGCTACTTCTTGAAATTGACGGCGATTTACTTATCCGGTCAGAACAGGTCGATGTCGCCCGGGCCATCATCGCGCCGATTTCGGGCCAGAATAGCGTGCTGCAAATGAACATGGGCAAGGGCAAAACTTCTGTTATCGTGCCCATGGTCGTGGCAGCCCTGGCTGACGGAAAGACACTCGCACGCCTGATTGTCCCCAAGGCGCTGCTCATGGCCACAGCGCAAGTGGCGCAGGCCCGGCTGGGAGGCCTTGTCGGGCGCGAGATACGGCATATCCCGTTCTCGCGTAAGACCAAAACATCACCGGATATGTTGGACCTATACGCCAAGCTGCATCTGGACGCCGGCAAAATGCGAGGTGTCATTCTGACTAGCCACGAGCACATACTTTCATTCAAGTTAGGCGCATGGCAGCATCTAGCAGATGGGAAGACAGAAGAGGCAGCGCAAATGTCCAAGATCCAGCTCTGGCTCGACAGGAAGTCCCGCGACGTGCTTGATGAGTGCGACTTCACTCTCTCTGTCAAAACACAGCTTAATTACCCGGGCGGTCACCGGACACATGTGGATGGACAGCCATTCCGCTGGCAGGCTGCCGAGGCGCTGCTTGATATGGTCGCCGACCATGTCCCGGCACTGCGCCGACAGCACCCCGCCGGAATGGACGTGTTAGGCTTGGAGAGCCCTGCATCCTTCCCCATGATGCGGTTCCTAAGGCGAGAGGCTGAGGATGCTACCATAAAGCTTGTTGTTGACAGCATCTGCGGCGGCAGCTGCCCTTTTATACGTCCCACCGATTCGGCATTGGCGTCCCCAGCAGGCGCGCAGATCCAGGCCATCCGACGGTTGCTTACAGAGGAAGAGTTCTGCGACGAAACATTTGCTCAAGCTGTCAGCGCGTTTGAAGACGAGCAGACGAGCACCCAGAAACTGCTGGTGGTCCGCGGTCAGCTTACCAACAAGATCCTGCTTACCTGCCTCGGAAAGCGGTGGAATGTACAATACGGGCTGCATCCGCTGCGCGACCCTCTCGCCGTTCCTTTCGAGGCCAAAGGCATCCCCTCGGAGCACGCCGAGTTTGGCCACCCAGACGTCGCAATCATGCTCACCTGCTTGGCGTTTTACTACAAGGGCCTAACGGAACCACAACTCCTCCAAAGCCTGCAGCACGTACTTCAATCAGCCGACCCGGCGCAACAGTACGAGGCCTGGATCACGGGCAGCAACAGACTGCCGGAGAGCCTGCGGCATTGGAATGCCATCAACACTGAGGACGGCGCCCAAATAGAGGAGCTGTGGACCCATTTGAGCCACAGCCTTGTCGCAGTGAACTACTACCTCGACCATTTTGTGTTCCCGCCGCATGCGAAACAATTCGAAGTGAAACTCCAAGCCTCCGGTTGGGACATCCCTCTTCTGCTGAACCAAAAGATGAACACTGCTCGCACAACGGGCTTCAGTGGCACGAACGACAATCGCACCATGCTCCCCCTCACCATTAAGCAGGACGACCTGCCCAGCCTCAGGCAAACCAGTGCCGAGGTCCTCACATATCTGCTGCAGGAGCGCAATCGAGGGTACCGCGTCACAGTGGACGACTTTGACCGCAATCGACTAAATGAGACAGGCCTGCTGAGGAGGCTTAAAGAATGGGGAATTAGGATCCTTATCGATGCGGGGGCCTACATCCTCGAAATTGACAACAAAACGCTGGCCCAAACGTGGCTGAAGGAGGACTCCGCAGCCAAAGCAGCCATTTACTTTGGTCAAGATGACCGGGCCTGGGTGCACTACCGCGATGAGGGCAAGGAGGATTCGCCGCTTCTGGCTACTCGGTTCGCCGACGACCTAAACGGATGCCTTGTATATCTCGATGAAGCTCACACACGAGGCGTTGATCTGAAATTGCCCGCCGACGCGTGCGGCGCGTTGACGCTTGCGCTCGGACAGACAAAGGACTTCACCATGCAAGGTGAGCCTTGCCTGGATCACATTCCGTCCCCGCTGAGCCAAAATGTGTATACCCGGCTAACACAACTCCGTTCTCGGGGCAGCCGCTATGCGTCTCCGCCAACTACGGACTACGCAGTCCGTCGTGTTCCTGGCTCCACCCGACGTGGACCAGAGCATACGGAATCACTGCTCCGTCCCCCCCAGGATCATAATGGACTCATCACACGTCATCTCGTGGCTGCTTGAGCAGACCTGCCGCGGTCTTGAAGACCTTCAAAGCCTCTACGTGTCTCAAGGTGTTGACTTTTGTCGTCGCACCGACGCCGAGTGGAGATACCATCAGGATACAGCCGAGGGATTAGGCGCTCCAGAACAGCAACGCAGCAAGCTCCTCGCCGTTATCCAGAAGCCGGAGCGACAGACCCTGGAGCGGTTGTACGGCGGAAAAGGGCGCACCGAGTCGTCTTCACTGCCTCCCAACATCTCCGATGCTCGCCTGCGTGCCTTCATGGACCGACTCGCTGGATTTAACGTCCGCCACAGTGCAAATCTCGACGCCCTGCAAGAGGTAGAGCAGGAGCAGGAGCAAGAAGTACAGGTCCAGGTCGAGCAAGTGAGCCACGTGCAGAGGCCTGCGCGGTACACGCCTCTTGTCTTCCCGGGGCTCCGCCTGGAAATTGAACAATTTGTCCGCACTGGAGTCCTGCCACGCAGCCGAGGTGCTTATGAACATGCATTTGCTTATGTCGGCAGGACAAGCGTTGGCCGAAAATTTGGCGTGCGCGAAACAGGCTCGAAACTCTTTGTTTCGGCCGAGCATGGCCGGACGGTCAAGCTTGCAAGCGGGACCGGGAAGACGGACGTAGCAGACAACTTTTTGGTAAGCACAGTTCTCTCGTTAAAGAAAGGGAATATTATGCAGCCCCAGATTATAGCTAGGCGGCCCCGAAAGCTAGCTAGAGGCTCGCTTTTTGCTTCACGTACTGACAGTTTCGGCTCCCAGCGCCCCGTCAAGTGGATCCTCTGGAGTCCTTCGACTGAGACCGCCCTTGTAGTCATCCCGGAGGAGGCCGAGCGCATCATCCCCATTCTTCGCCTTACGATCGCAGCTGGCAAGCCGCCTGTGCACATGCTCTCCTACGCCGCGCCGACCACCAAGGCAATGCTACCATTCAACAAGTTCCAGTACTACACCTTGCCGCAGCTGCCCTCCGGCCACACCTTTCCGCAGTGGTTTGGATTCGAGGTCGGCATTCTAGCGGGTAGGCTGTACGTCGATGCCGACGAATGGGACGCCTTGAGGGAGTTTGTCCGGCCAACGGCGGCGGAACTTGTTGATCAAGAGGCGAAGTTGAGCACTTTTGCCCATGATCCGGCCACCTTCGTTCGCGAGTGGCTCGCTCTTCGCCACCCCACACAGAACATCCTGCACACGCCCATGGGTTACATTTGTATGGGACGGTCGCTGGAGCAGTCGCCGTGGAATTCAGTCGATCATTGAATGGGATGATGAAGATGAGGCAGCCACATTTTGTTTGGGTCACTGAGAGGCAATTTGCCCACATTTGTCGGATAGAGTGCCAGAAAATTTTCGGGTGCGAGACGATGGCCTATGGAACTGTAAGCAAAAACCAGATAAACGTATGAAAATGATTTATATGTAGAATCTGGACCCAATCGATCATCACAGTATTTTGTAAAAGGGAAGGGAAGCCTTGAGAAAAATGGAAGCCTTGAGGAAAATGAAAGCCCCAAGAAGCAAGGAGGACATTGGAGAGGAGAGAGGATCTTAAGGAGGGAGGACCAGGATGGGAGAGGACGATGTGAGCGGACTCCCGGCCGCCGTGTGGCCCGGCATGGACAGGCTCCGTTTCTCTATTTGCCATGACGTGACGGGATCACCACATGGCCTAATTGGTGAACTTCTTTAAATACCTCTCCTTCCATGTAAACAATATCATATGTCCAATTGATACACTGCCATTCTTACTTTTCCCTATGTTGCGAGTGGTGGTGAAGTAATCGTTAGGGGGTGGACTGCCGACCAATAATGTCGACTCTCTCGCGGACGTCACGCCCAATCCCTTGCCACCGTTCTGTCCATGGAAAGCTTTATTGAGAAACATGCACAGTTCCACAAACGTGCCTGCGTCTCGCGAGGACAGATCCGAGCCGCATTCGTTCTCCTTCCCTCTTGCTGATAACGCGTCCTCAACACGACTCCCAATGACCTAACGTCGATGGATAATCCCCCGCCTATCTGGCTGTCCATCAGCCGAGGCCAACGGTTCATATGTATCCGTTCTTGGGTTATCTCCTGAACCGATTCATCCAAGTGCTGCCATCTCCCAGCACCTTGCGGGGCCTGCTTCCACCTCACGATATAAAATGGCAAGCTGCACCAAGGCTAGGATACTACAGCACATATACACCTCTCAAGGATCGCAAACGTTAGCGCGGTGGAGTTTTTCCCAATTAGGGCGGACCCTATATACGCTTTCTCGTAGAGAAACGCACCGTGGATTTTGTTTGGAGGTCCGCGTAGTTTTTCCGGTCAACGTGCCCACCTACTAACGTTTGTGGTCCTTGAGAGGTGTACGGGTCGAACGCGCCACGGCTAACAGCATCCCTGATGGACGGCGGCCAGAGTGGAAACTGGCGCCCCGCGCGAGGTGGAATGTATCGAGACGGCGACGGGCCCGGGGACAGCCCCGGCGGCAACGACGATAATGAGTGTAGGTATGCCGTTGGCCTAGAACCGGAGGAAACTACACTACATCGGGCTCCTGAACCGGGTGCCTCGCTGGGTGCTGTGCCAATGAGTCGGGCTCTGTCTCCCATTTTTGTCACGGTACCTCTCGTTTAACTTAAACCCCATCTTCTTCCATAACCCTTTCTTACTAACGCATATTGCCGGTAGGAAATTGTTTGTGCCACAGGTGCTAACTTTGTATCAACCCATCTCTAACACAAAGCCACTCCCCGTAACGTATGCCAAATTTCTTGAGCTGACTTATACCTAAAGCTATAGTAATGCTAATAGTAAGGGATTAGCACATACGACCATACTGGAATATACGGGATCCCGTCCGCTCTCCCCTAGTTAAACCAGTAAAGGATTAGGTAGAATAGGGATTTTTCCAAATCCAAAGCGCTGGAATTATTAAGGCCGCCTTTATTCCCACTCGATCGATTAAATAATAATGTCGACGATATGGGACCATTGCCATAAGGGGAAGTACATGCTTTGTTTATTTAAGGGTAAAAGGTTCCGTCCATTTAACGGTTCCAAAACCTTTTGCTTCCGTATGTATTTCCAATTAAAACTTTTAACCGCCCTTTCGCGAATACCGTTTCCACCGCGTTAATTATTTGGTCGCCGACCCGGAATTTACGATAAAAGGTTGTTTCGGTAAATACATTGTTAATTTAAACAGCCGCGCTTTTTTCGGTATTAACGCTTTTAGCCAAATTCTTTTTTGCGATGGCCGCAATTTTTTGTGCGGCCGTATCCGATAAAGCCGCGTCGATCCCCCGTACCGCATCCTTTAGTATCGTTAAATTCGCTTCGTTTTCCAGCTTTTCAATTTTAACTTCGGCTAGCTTGTAGCAAACCGCTTCCAAAAGGACAATTTTTCCAAATTATTTACAAAACCGGCAATTTGGTTAACCACCTTTTCGAGCGCTTTCCCCTCGTATAACGCCCACGCCGTTTTTCGCACTAAGCTCGTGCGCTTTTATTTCGAACGGGCGAAATCTTTCAATTTGTTATATAGCGTTCGACCGATCGGCTTTATGTTTTTGTCCCCAAATACGACCAAATTTTGCTGGTTCGCAACGAGCTCGTACCGTTTCGACATTTTCCGGGCCGATTTAAACAAAGCGCGGTTTTTTTAAGCATCGATTGCGTTAGCTAAGCTAACTTGTTGGTTGGCAAGCTAATGCTAAACCGCGGGTCGTTGTTAATTTTAACCGCTTCGCTTTAACGTGCCAAGCGTGCTATCGCAACGTCCAATTTAAGTTAACACTTTTCGTAATTTGTTAAAGGTCGATCGGTGCAAAGGCGGGTAGTTACCAGGTTACGGGCCGGATGCGGTGTTTCCTTTGTTAAGCTTTCGTAAATTTCTTACCAAAAGTGCTATTTTTTACAAAAATTGTTCTTTTTTTAACTTCCCTTTTTTTCGTGCCCTTTCGGGCACGCGGGGTTAGTTTTATAAATTTTTTGCGTTTTATGCGCTTTCGTGCAATTTAAGCTTTATTTTATTTTTTTAATTTTGCCGTTATGCTTTAGCCGCGATACCGGTAATTTGCCGGCATATTCCCGGGAAAATCCGTGCCCGGTTAATTACCAACGCTTTTTTTTTTTTTTTTACCAAACGGTTTTGCCCGTTTTTTTAACGCTTTTTGCTTTTTGCCGGGCGGTTTTGCCCGTGCTTTTAACATATTGCCTTTTTTTAATACGGCTTGTTTTAAGCCGTTTGTGCCGCGCGTACAATTTTGTAAGTAACCGGTAGCTTACGGTATTTCGTTAAACCGCTTTAATACCCGGCGGCGCTTGGGGAAACTGGTTATAAAGCTTTGCTTTACCCCAAAAAGTGGGTTTGCGTTAATATAAAAAGGCTTTTTTTCCCTTTTTACGGCCGCGGGCTTTTCCTTTTTTTTTGCGCTTTTAATAACCATTTTAATAATTTTAACAATTGTAACCGTAAATAATTAATATTTAACCGTTTTTTTAAATATTTAAATTTAACCGGTAATTGCAAATGTTATTTTTCGTACTTAATTACGTAAAAAAAGTAATATTTTTTCGGGTATTTGCTTTAGGTTTTTTAATTTAAACCAACCCGTTAGCCCCCGTTAATTTCCCGGTTTTAATTAACCCGTTAGCTTTTTTTGGTTTTTCGGCTTTTTATAACCAATTTAGCGGCCTCGTGGTGCAGTGGCTTTGCACCAAGCCGGTCCCGCCAGGACCACGGGTTCGAATCCCGTCGAAACCAAAGGACTTTTTGTTTTAAACCCTTGGCCTGCCAGGATCGAAATCCGATAAGGGCCGATAAGCCAAATTAACCAAAAACCAACAACGCCGATAAAACAACCGATAACAATTACAACAACCTTATCGATTTCGATAGCAG